TCCTATAACCCTGACAATTGCATTCAGAAACAAGTTTTTTCTGACTTTTGAATAGATGAGCGTTGGTATTTGTTTCCTTTGTGCCAAGTAAAGAATCTTATTAAATATCCCTTGCTACATTTTAACTTTCTGAATATATCAGTCTTCTAGTGTTTTAACTAGATATCCTGAAAAATATTTTGCGGGAACTTTGATTCAACAAAATTTAGTTTAACTACATATTACACACAAAAACCACTATGAAGAAGTCTATTCTGACCAAGGACATGAGACAGTGAACAAAGCATGAATTGACAGCAGTGTTCACAGTACATATAAATATGTAACTATTAGATAAGGGAATAGTAGAGTAGTGATTAATGTGTAATGGATGGCAGATGTGTGGCATGTGAACAGTTCATGATTTGTATGGAGTATGGTTCCCAGAAATTAATGAACCAATCACAGAGTGCGTGATATGATGTAAAATAAAATGTGCACACGGCATTCTCTTTTGGGAATGTATATATAATTAGATTGATGATTATGTACTTTGGACTTGTGTCAACCCCCGTGCTAGCAGAGTCTGATCAACTCAGTGTAGTTTTACTGTATACCAGTAAAGAAACTTAAATGACTAGTTCAGAGTCGAGCTGAGTTGCTGGGAGGTTAAGGTATCGGAGGGAATGCCAACACTATGTTAAAAGAAAATTGAGGTTGCAAACTCAGGCACTCAAATGGTAGGAAATGCCAGAAATAAGGTTTCCTGTTTAATCCTAATGCTGCCTCTTGGGCATGTGCATTATGATACATCTTTAATTACATGAGCACATAATATTTTTTTTCCCACAGGACTCTTGCCTCATTCAGTCCATAGGATGGGCAGTGCTCATTTAGGCCTTGTCTACACTTGAAATGCTACAGCAGCAGCTGCATTGCTATAGCACTTCAGTGTAGACACTACCTATACCAAAGGAAGGGGCTCTGCCATCGCTGTAGTTAATCCAGCTGCCCAAGAGGCAGTAGTACTGTCTATATCGAGGGTTAGGTCAGAATACCTACGTTTCTCAGGGGTGTGGATTTTTCACATCCCTGAGAGAGACCACTATGCCAATGTAAGTTTCCAGCGTCGAACAGCAATTCAATAGTTTTGTTTTCTCCTTGTTGTTCAGCATGTGGCCTCATGCTTTATTTGCTGCACTAACTATTCCAATCCTGTTCTGTGTTCAGAACATAAGAATGGCCTTACTGGGTGAAACCAATGGTCCATCTAGGCCAGTATCCTGTCTTCCAATAGCAGCCAATGCCAGGTGCTTCAAAGGGAATGAACAGAATAGGGCAATTATCAAGTGATCCATCCACTCCCAGCATCTGGCAGTCAGAGGCTCAGGGACACCAAGAGCATGGGGTTACATAAGAACATAAACTATACATATATCCAACTATACATACAATATGATGGGGGCTAATTTAGCTACAACTAATCAGGAAAAAGATCTTGGAGTCATCGTGGATAGTTCTCTGAAGACGTCCACGCAGTGTGCAGCGGCAATCAAAAAAGCAAACAGGATGTTAGGAATCATTAAAAAGGGGATAGAGAATAAGACAGAGAATATCTTATTGCCCTTATATAAATCCATGGTACGCCCACATCTTGAATACTGCGTACAGATGTCTCCTCATCTCAAAAAAGATATACTGGCATTAGAAAAGGTTCAGAGAAGGGCAACTAAAATGATTAGGGGTTTGGAACGGGTCCCATATGAGGAGAGATTAAAGAGGCTAGGACATTTCAGCTTGGAAAAGAGGAGACTAAGGGGGGTTATGATAGAGGTATATAAAATCATGAGTGATGTGGAGAAAGTGAATAAGGAAAAGTTATTTACTTGTTTCCATAATATAAGAACTAGGGGCCACCAAATGAAATGAATGAGCAGCAGGTTTAAAACAAATAAAAGGAAATTCTCTTCACACAGCGCCCAGTCAACTTGTGGAACTCCTTGCCTGAGGAGGTTGTGAAGGCTAGGACTATAACAGGGTTTAAAAGAGAACTGGATAAATTCATGGAGGTTAAGTCCATTAATGGCTATTAGCCAGGATGGGTAAGGAATGGTGTCCCTCCCCTTTGTTTGTCCGAGGGTGGTGATAGATGTCAGGAGAGAGATCACTTGATCATTACCTGTTAGGTTCACTCCCTCTGGGGCACCTGGCATTGGCCACTGTCAGTAGACAGGATACTGGGCTGGATGGACCTTTGGTCTGACCCAGTATGGCTATTCTTATATTCTTATGTTTATTGTAGACCTGTTGCCTACTAATTTCATTGGGTGACCCCTGATTTCTTGTGTTATTTAAAGCAGTGAACAACACTTCCCTATTTACTTTATCCACACCATTCGTGATTTTATAGACCTCGATCATATTCTCTCTTCCAAGCTGAACAATCCCAGTCTTTTTAATCTCTCCTCAAAGCTTCACAAATGTTATTGAATTTATTTTCATGGCATCCCCGTGAGATAACAGAATTGTATTATCCCTGTTTTACAGATGTGAAACTGAGTCACAGAAAGATAAAGGTCAGAAGTATCCACTAATTTTGGGTGTCCAGTCTGAGATGCCTAGAACCTTCTTTTCCATTATATAGCTCTTTATGTGTTCAAAGCACAACTCCCCACTGACTTCAGCTGTAGATGTGAGTGCTCAGCACTTCTGCAAATCAGGCCCCAGGGTCTCAGGACAAGCACTCAGGAAATAAGATGTACACAATTACTGACCATGTGAGAAAAGTTTGATATAAATGACTTGACTAAAATCACATAAGCACTCTGGCAGAGGCAGGGAGAGAATCCATTTCACCAGGGCAGCAGTCAACTGCTTTAATCATGAGATCATTCTTTCTCTTATTGTATTCCCCCTGGCTCATTCACTATACAGCTTCCAACTTCTGCAACAAATTAAGCAGGGGTTGAACAGCCTCCTTTCCTTCCCTCCTGTATCGTTTCCGGAGCAAGTCCATCCTGTGCACTGAGTAAGGCAGGGATCCCATGGAAAAATAGTACATGATCACGTAATTAAAGTCTGTATGATAATGTGTATGCAGAAGGGGGGCAAATTAAGGTTTTGAGTGCTTACTTTGCAGCCTCAATTTTCCTTTACTGGGCCTAATTTCCTAGGTTTTCAAAAAAAGCAAACTGAGAAAACAGAAATTCCATCATGTGGCACAATATTGACACCCAGATAATTCATCAAGAGGGTTTGTACCTTTAGATTCACTGCACAGACCTCTGGTACTTGAGCTAAAGGAGTAATTGAAAGCAATAGTAGGTTGTCATAATCTGTGTGAACCAGCACTAGAGGGATGAGGAAATTGAGCTCTTACATGGTTCACAGCCTGATAGTTAGGGAACTGGGCTGGGATACAGGAGACTCAAGTCCCTACGCAGCTTGATTCACTGCAGTTTTTTTCCCCCCATCCTGGACCACTCTGAATCAGGCAGAGCAGGGACTTGAACCAAGGCCTGGGGGGACACACTGATTCCCAAATCAAAACCCTCAGGTTTCAGTCTCAAAATGGACAATTTGACACAATTCTGTTTTTTTCCTTAAAAGCATTTGAAAAATTTTGTTTTAGTTCCAGTGAGGAAGGAAACCAAATTTCAAAACCTTGAAAGTTGCTGTCAAATATGTTTGCATAAACCAGATACTGAATAACAAACATGTTAAAATCAAATCTGTGTGTATATAATTCACAAATGTAGAAACAGGCCAAATTCATTGAATAAAATGTTTACTGTGAATAGGTCATTCATCTCTATAGACTGCCTATGGCAAACCTTCAGTAGCTGATACTTTCTATTTTGGGAATTATAGTCTTCGTACCTGCAATTCCTGATTAGTTTTTCAAGTTCCTCGTTTTGGAACTGTTGTCTGCTTGTTTGAAGGCCAAGGTCTCTCTCTCCTCTCCCCCCCCGCCCACGTAGTTGTATTTTAGGAGGCGAAGTAATCTTAGGATATATCATTTGTATTTGGTTTTAGAGTATTTTAGAATCTATAGCTAAGACACTATGCCAGTAATTCTTCTTCTTCTTCTCTTTCATGAGTTTCTAGATCTTACTAACCAGGAGCAAGTGTTTCTTGCAGAAACTGTCGTGTGTGTGTGTGTGTGTGTGTGTGTGTGTGAGAGAGAGAGAGAGAGAGAGAGAGAGAGAGAGAGACAGGGACACAAATGCTGAGAATCAGGGAGAGAAGGTGAAAGAAACAAATAAAAGGATGTTCAAGCGTTTGTAGAATTAAATCCTCAAGTAGTAGTTATAGAGATTAGAATATTAAGGAGCTAATACAAAGAATCCAGCAGCAGCACCCTAGCCCAATATGTAATGGTGTGGCATTTGCTTGTGTTATCCAGAAAAGAAGCTTATTGTATAGCTAAATATTGATCATCATCTGCTACTAAAAGTTAATATTAAATGCTATTTTTGTTAAAATCTTTAGATTTATTAACTCTGGTTTAGACTGTATTTTTTGTTTAGGCGCTATAATACTAAGTAATGAGTTAGTACGCTGTTCTATATATATTATATAGATGTAATTTAATTTATGAGCTCAGATTTTTAAGTTACTCAAAAAGGCAGAAGTTCAGTCACAGAAATATGTTAATACACTTAGATATCACCTTTTGTCTTTCAGTAAGAATTTTTAAGTTTGGAAAGTTGCACTTGTGGTTTAGCTCACACAAATTAATTGATAGCGGGCAAGACACACAGATCTGCATATTTCAGTACAAGCTCCTCCAGGCATTAGCACAGAAAAGGGGAGAGGGCACTAAAAGCATAATGAAATAAATGGACTGCACAGTCAATTTACTGCCCTCATTTGGAAGTATCCATAAAGGTTCAGGCAGTAAGGCATTTTTAAAGCTTGTAAAAGTTTTGCTCTTTTTCAACTCTAAGTAGCTGCACATGCTGGGATACAGAAGCACAGACAGCAAAGGTGCAGGAAAAGGGCAGCTCTCAGTTACTTACGTTGACAGCCTAAGCTGTGCCAGATATATCCCAGCAGACACTTATCACATTTAGTCCCTGATGTTCCCTCCTTACACTCACAGAATCCTGTGTCATTACAGCGATCATGGATAGAGCCAAAAGGGTTACAATTACAGTCTGCAGAAACAAGACAACACACATACGCTGGCCATAATTCAAACAATAGCAATAAAGGAAGCAATTCTAGTGTTTAAAAGTAAAGGACGACTGTCTATTAATGACATTTGGAGGAGAGAGAATAATTACCACAGGTCCACTTTTCATTTGTTTGGTCTTTTTAAGAGCAGACCTCTGACTGATTATGTGAGGGGGAAAACTAAACAGAAAAGATGTAGAGTAAAAAGGTAACTGATCATAATGGATATTCCATTTTAATAAGGAGGTTTTGTATAGTTTAATGAACAGAAGGAGAGATTTGTATAGCAAGGATAAATCGATATGCCATCAGGATGAAATCTGTTTTAAATTATTAAAATAGGTGTAGCTGTATCACTCAATACTTCGAGTTCTGCTGAATATTTTTAAAGTGCTATATAAATGCACTTTACTTATTTCCAAGATAGTCTTCCCTTTATATTTAGGAGTAGTATGTTAATTTATGTAGGTACTTGCCATTGTAGTGATGAGAATTTACAATGCACCTTTCACATATTCCAAAACAACCTTGAGGTGGGGAGCAAAATACTACAAGACTTGGTCAGTACTGACTTTTAGCTGTCATTTTCATTCTACCGCTCTTCTTTCACTCCCATGGGGGGTGGGGGGTGGATGTGAGGATGGAAGTGAAGCACTCCAGCACCCAAATGTAGATTTTTTTTTCTCACATGTGCCTGAACCTGACCAAAGACTGTAGTAAATTGTGGTGGTTTGGGTTGACCCCTTTATTTCCACAACCTTTATTCTAGGGTAATACAGTAACTCCTCACTTAACGTTGTAGTTATGTTCCTGAAAGTGCGACTTTAAGTGAAATGATGTTAAGTGAATCCAATTTCCCCATAAGAATGAATGTAAATGGGGGGGGGTTAGGTTCCAGGGAATTTTTTTTTGCCGTACAGTACAGTAGTATAGTTGGGAGGTGCCCCTGCCTTACCCCACACAGGCACAGCCCACTGGCACTGGAGACAATGAGGCAGGCAAGGAGGCTGAAGGTGCTGTAGGCTAGGAGATGCACGTTGTGCAGCAGCAGCAGCAGCTTCCCCTTCTCTGCAAGCACCATGGGTGGTGGGCTCAACCCTCAGCCCACCCACGTCACCCCTTCCCCCAAGTCCCCATCCTTAACCCGCCTCTTCTTCCCCCTTTATTTCACACGCCACGTCCTCGCTCCTAACCCCTCCCTCCCCTGCCTCCTGCCCGCGGCAATCAGCTCGCTTGCAGCGTTCAGGAGGCAGGAGGGAGGGGGAAGGAGTGAGGACACAGCGCGCAGGCTCCCCCTCCCTCCTGAACATTGCAAGCCAGCTGATTGCTGCGGGCAGGAGGCAGGGGAGGTGCGCCGTGTCCTCGCTCCCCCCTCCCCATCCTGCCCGTGGCAATCAGCTGGCTTGCGACTTTCAGTGGCGGGGGGGGGGGAGGAGGGAGGACTCCGCTCTCCCCGCCCTCCCCTGCCTCCTGCCCGTGGCAATCGGCTGGTTTGCGGTGTTCAGGAAGGAGGGGGAGCCTGTGCGCCGAGTCCTCGCTCCTTCCCCCTCCCTCCTGAATGCCACAAGCCAGCTGATTGCTGCGGGAAGGAGGCGGAGGGAGGAGGGGGAAAGCACTGATCCGCGGGGTCTGACGGAGGGCAGGAGGTGCTGGGGGGGGGGCGTAGGGGAGCTGATAGTGAGGCTGCCAGCTGTGGACAAAGCAGGCAGCCAAACGATGTTATAGCGAAGCATTGCACAACTTTAAATGGAGCATGTTCTGTAATTGAGCAGGGACGTAAGATCGAAACAATGTTAAGCGAGAGGACGTTAAGTGGGGAGTTACTTGAACCACAGACTTCTCTCTTTAACACCATCACAAATTCAGTGCTCAGCTCTGGGCTCCACGGCAGGAGGGAGCCCTTCAAAGAAGGAAGATAATTGACAGCAGTGTTGAGTTTTCTGGCACTGCTATGGATCAGCTGTATATTTTCTCTAAGCCTAAGGACCAAATTCTGATCTCATTTACACCAACATAAACCTACAGTAACTCCACTGTTGTATCTGAGGCCACACCCTACCTCTAACAATAATTTTGACCACACACCTGATCTCTGCTGCTATCAAAGGCAAGAGATACAAATCCATTGGCAACCTTGCTGGGTGCATTGTTTATTTTTTTTCCTTTTAATCAAGCTATCTTGCTGCTATTGTTTGCTAGGACTATATTAAATTGCAGCAATATTACAAATGACAGAAGAGGAAAAAGCATTAAAATATTTTAAAATCCAATGGAAATTTTTTTTACGGGGAAAGGAATATTACCAGTAACAAATGTCACCTGTTGCCTTACTGCTTATTAACTTTAAATTAAAGAGGACATTTCAAACATTTGGCATGCTGGAGAAGAATAGTTACCTCTGGCAAACACAGTTCCACAATAATAATCCAGTCAATTAGCCAACAACATTAATTAATGAAGTGGAATACTGACATACCCCCCAAAAAAACATTGTGGAACATTGAGCACAGTTATGCCTCAGTAGGTGCCATATAAAAAATTGGCACTCCTGATGTTAATCAGACATTCAAAACCTTTATGTAAATAGGCATACGGTTGAGGTACTAAATGCAGACAGTCACATTTATTTAAAGAAGTGTAAGTCAAAAGCTAACAGCACTGAATATTATAAGGAAATGGCCTGATTCTCCTCTCACTAAACTGAAAGTAACTCAACTGAACACAGTGGAATTAAACTCATGTAAAATGAGTATAAGTGGGAGAAGAGTCAAGCATGGAATAGACTATCTGTATATAATATATTGCCCCACAAAATGGAAAGCCTGATCTAAAGGTCAACGAAAAACTCCCATTGCCTTGAATCACATCAATAAGTAAAGAGTATCAGACTTATATTTTGCGACTAAAGGGGACAATATATACTGGATTAAAAAAGCTGTTATGACAAACCTCTTTATAAATGTGCTGTTCTGACAAGCCTCTTTAAAAAAGATACGTTAAAGGGGTGTTACCAAAACAAAAAATTTAAAGTGCAGCTCAACAAATTATTACCCCAATCTTGCAAACACTTAGGCATGTGCTTAACTATGTGCATTTGCATAGTCTCATGGAGGTTGTAAGATTACTCCCATGTGTAAAGTTAAGCATGTGCCTAATGTCTACAGGACTGGCACCTATTTGAGAAAGTTTAAAAAAATCATCATTTCAGTATCTCTTTCTGAGGCAAAAGAAATGGCTATACTTGGTGTCTCGTCTGTAACTATACTGTATGATAAGGTTATGTATGCTCCATGGTATCATGTCTGGAACTGCATATTTTATGTAGCTCACAGCTTCTTGCTTACAAAGATTCATTCACATGACACTAAATGCGTTACCTTCATGTAATTACGGTATCACACCACAGAGTAA